ACAGCTGTTAGCCATTTCATGACCCAGCCGAAGCTGAACGGTCGACAGGCCAGGTGGCAGGAACTCCTAGCTGAATTCCACTTCAACTTGGAGTATCGCAGTGAAAGACCAATCATGTTGCTGATGCGCTCAGTCGGAGAGCTGATCTAGCATCGGTGTGCCTACTCGCCACCCTAAGGGGGAGCAAAGTAGCCACATCCATCAAGGACCAAATACGGGATCTACTCATCAAGGATCCTGCTGCTCAGTATTTGGTTGATTTGGTAGGACAGGGCAAGACTCGCCAGTTCTACATGGAAGATGGTTTTCTGAAAGTAAAAGGGAACCGACTTTATGTTCCTAAAGGAGGAGATTTGCGGAGGACTCTTCTAGCGGAATGTCATGATACTCTGTGGGCCGGCCATCCCGGTGAAGAACGCACCATGGCGTTACTTCGTCGTGCCTATTATTGGCCTCAAATGGCCGATGATGTCGCTCAGTATGTGAAGACTTGTCTAGTATGCCAGAAGGACAAGTCGGACCGCTTGACACAAGCGGGACTCTTGGAACCACTCGCTGTCCCAAAGAGACCTTGGGAAAGCGTTTCCCTTCATCACTGGATTGCCCAAGGTCGGAGATCTCACAACCATCTTGGTTGTGGTGGACCGGTTTTCCAAGTATGCCACCTTTATTGCAGCCCCACAATATATATCAGCAGAAGATACAGCTCGACTCTTCTTCTCTCATGTCGTCAAATATTGGGGTCTGCCTAAAGACATTGTTAGTGACCGCGACTCACGCTTCACTAGCAACTTTTGGACCCAACTCTTCAAGTGCCTTGGGTCAAAATTGAGTCACAGCTCAAGTTTTCATCCGCAATCTGATGGCCAGACGGAGCGGTTCAATGGTATGTTGGAGGAATATCTCCGCCACTTTGTAACCGGATCGCAGAAGAATTGGGTGAAGCTTCTGGATGCTGCTCAACTGTGTTTCAATTCACAAAAGAGCTCTAGTACCAACAAAAGCGCTTTTGAAATTATTACCGGACAGCAACCGCTACTCCCACACACTGTGAATGCACCAAACATGGCTAAACCTCCTCGAGCTGCCAGCTTCTCAAAAGAGTGGAAGCGGAATTTGGAGATAGTGCGGAGCTATCTTGTCAAAGCCCAAAAGCGGATGAAGAGGCATGCTGATCAGAATCGTCGCTTTGTTGAATATCAAGTAGGAGACAAAGTGATGGTCAAAATCCCAAAGCGGTACTTATTTGCAGGGGTCCATGACCCTCGCCTATTGCAAAAATACATTGGACCCTTGTCCAATGAAAGGCCCATTGGGAAGGTTGCATACCGGGCGGATACCCCAGCTTGGTGGAAAATTCATCATGTCTTCCATGTCAGTCTTCTGAAACCTTTTCGGGAAGACACGGAGGATCCTTCAAGGAGCCAGCTCACAATACCCAGTATTCGAGGTCCCAATTCAACCGGGAAAAGGCGTGTTGAAGCTATCCTTGATGACAGAGTGATTCATGCCTCAAGGAAAGATCACCAAGAGTATTTGGTGAAATGGCAGGGCTGTGATGCAGAAGAGAATACTTGGGAGAGGGGAACAAACCTCAAAGCCAACAAGAGCCTCATTGAAGATTATTTTTCAAGTAAGGCGCTGAGGACATCGCCAACTCAGGTGGGGGAGAATGTCATGGGCGGCTTTCCAGCCATGCCCCATGACCCCTTGGGTGCGCCCCGTGGCGTCCTAGCAAGCCTCCCAATGCCTAGCGCCACGGACGGCCCCGTGGTCTTGGCCGCGCCAAGTGACAAGCGCGCAGGTGCCTCGGTCGCCCCACCGATATCCCTCGCCAGCGCCAAGCCGCAGGCAGAAGCCAACAGCACCGTGCGCGCAGACAACGCCGCGCGCGCAGACCGTGATGCCAAAGACACTGCTGCTGACAACGGACCTGCTGCTGCCTTATAGAAAACTAAGTCACTTTCATTGTAAATATAGAGTAGTTTTATTTCATGTACTTCCATTATGTTTCTCTAGCTTAGTCAAGTCTAGTCCTGTAGCTTTGGATTATTTTTTTTAAGTATTATTAGGGGGGATCAAGCAATCAAAACTTTCTAGCAAGCAAGCAATTCTCTGTACTGGTGCCTCTCCCCCTCGACACCGCGTTGCTTTTCTGTAATAGCTTTCATTAATGCAATCAAGCTTTCTTTCATTCTAAATTCTCATTTATGTTCTCTCAATTGCTCTTGACATTGGTTTTCCCGTACGGCACTGACAATCTCGTCTAGCGTACGGAGGGGACCTCAGTTGGCGGACAGCAACTGCACTGACATCAATTGCCTAGCCTTACGTCGCCCTTCCAAGGAATCTCAGGAAGGCGCTGCGTAACAGTACGCGTCGACCAGTACGCTGATTCCTATGTTATACAACATACGTATTATTTCAAACATTTGGAAAAAAAATCGAACGCTTATTAAAATAATTCCACATCAACTCAAATTAAGTCTAAATGCTCTACTAAATGTCCTTTAATTTGATGTTGGTCGGTCGGGATTTTTTTATGTTTATAGTTTTGTGAAGAGCATATATACTAGGCAGCTGATGCAAATTAAAGGTTGAAGTTGAAGATCACTTTATGCCAAAAAAGTAAAAAAGAGAATTGCTGAGAAAGTTTTGGACTTTAAAAGGAGAAATAAAGAATACAAATAAAAGGAGAAAATGGTAGATGACATGCAAATGGAGAAGGAAAAAAAAAAAGCAATAGTGGATCTCGAAGTAGCATAATATGAAGGGTTTGGAACCTAGCATATACTTCTTTCTTTAATAACCTAGTTACTTATTATTTTCCCCCGCGAGACCTTGCTAGTTTAATGCGAGGGATTCGGATTCTGTTTTATCTTTGTTGCATTTTCGCGGAGTAGATAAAGTGTGGAGTATATTTTCTTCTTGTTTTTGTAAACTTATCTTTCTTTAAAAAAAATTAAACATTTATTATAAAAAAAATTCAATTAAAATATAAAATGTAAAGTAAAAATATAAATTAAAAATCTCAATCAATATAAAATAAAGTTATTCCAAAGCAATAACATTGAGTATTTGGTATTACTTATTGTTTACATGATAATTTAAATTTGTCAAAATACATCATTCAATATAACTTTAAAATCTACTCTTAGGAGGAGGACATTACGGCTCAGGAAGAATCGCTAAAAAATGACCTAATTGGGTATGTCCTTGGTGATAATCCATATGAGAAGTCTATGGAAAATTATGTAACTAATGTATGGAGTTTTGTAGCACAGCCAAAAATTCTGTACCATGTTAAGGGATACTATATTTTCCAGTTTCAAAGTATAGAAGATAGAGACCTAGTACTTCATGCAGGGCCATACACTTATCATAACAAACCATTTATCCTACATCATTGGAAAATCAATTTTTTTTTAACCCAGAGTGCTTGAGCATTATTCCCTTGTGGGTGAAGTTCCCTGGTCTCCCGTTAGGATATTGGTCCACTGAAGCATTGAGCAAGCTTGCTAGTGTAGTAGGAAAACCTCTATATACTGATAGGGTAACAACAGAAATGGAGAAGGCCTCGTATGCTAGAGTCCTCGTGGAAACTGATGTATCACACCCACTCCCTGAGAGCTTTGAGATGCAAACATCAAAAGAAGTTATACAACAACGGATTGCATATGATTGGAGGCCCAAATTTTGCTGTGATTGTATCAGATTTGGTCATGATATAATAGAATGATGGGCAAAGGCAAAGCAGGGAAATGAGGAGGAATTTAAGGAGCAACCAAGAAGAAGAAGAAGCAATAAGAATGGAAAGAAGTAGATCACTCAACAATGGGTACAGAAGATACATGTTTCTTCAACTTCAAATGATGCAGAATCATCTGGAGCTCAAAAAGAAAAGCAGTTGGGAAAGCCTAATGCAGGAAGTGTACAGCCCATAGCTAAACAAGTTCCTACAGAGAATCAAAGCATATCACTCGGCAAGATAGGAGTAGGGCAAGAACAAAAGACTACCATTGTTAGAGGCAATCTAGAAGCAGTCAACTTAACAGCTGCTATAACTACCTCTAGCAATAGGTTTGCAATCCAACAAACACAACCCACAGATAAGGACCCAAGGGATGCTGGGCCAACCAGCTCTTCCCATAAATGAACATCTATACTTGGAATATAAGAGGGCTTAATAAGCCTTTTAAACAGAAAGAGCTAAATATGGTTGGGTGTGTAGAAACAAGAGTGAAGGAGAAAAAAGCTAGGAGAATCATGCAGAAGGTGGCTAAGGACTAGAATGGTTGCTGTAATTATAAAGACCACCCAAAGGGCAGAATATGGTTAATGTGGAGAAACAATGTAAATATATAGATTATTGAGACTACAGACCAATATATACATTGTGAGGTGCAGAAGGATAGTTTCAAATCATTGCTATCAGTGGTTTATGCCAGAAATGATGCAACTCTTAGACAACAACTATGGAATCAACTTGCACAAGTAGGAGCCAATGTACATGATGCTTGGTTACTAAGTGGGGATTTCAACAATGTGCTAAGCACTGAAGACAGAATAGGTGCGCCAGTCACTCAATCAGAGACACAAGGCTTTCAAAATTTAGTAGATGTGCTGCAATTGACCCCATTAAAAAGTGTTGGCTGGTTCTTTACATGGTGCAACAAGCTACAGGAAGATAAAAGGGTGTATAGCAAGATAGATTGGGCATTGGGCAATTATGTGTGGCTGCAACAATATAGCCACATAGAAGCTGAATTCATGAATCCAGAAGTGTCTGACCACTCTCCTCAATCCTCATACATATCAGTCAACAAAAGAAAGGATTGCATCCTAAGCCTTTCAAGCTTTACAAAAATGTTATGGAGCATCCATAGTTCGGGAACATAGTGCAAGAGGTATGGCAGTAGGGAATTTAAGAAGAGCCCATGAACACAACCTGGAAGAAATTGAAGACACTCAAAAATGGTCTTAAAGACTTAAACAAATATATGACTTTCTACCAGCAGAGACTTGACCAGGCTAGACATAAACTAGAGATAGTACAGGGGGAACTCAAAAATTCTCCTCTAGATCAGAGCTTGTTCAACCACGAAAACGAAATCTTGACAGAAATGGCAAAATGGAGTCATATAGAAGAACAGGTACTGCAGCATAGGGCCACTTGGATTGAATGTGGTGACTCAAATACCAAATACTTCCATGCTCAATGGAAGACGAGGACAAGCAAAAACCACATTACATCCATCTACACTGAAAGTGGTATTAATCTAACAGATCCAGCCCAAATAGTAAAGGAGTTCATATCTTTCTTCACCAAGCTCATGGAAGAAAGTGGAGAAGTTCACAAATGTCCAGATGCTGCAGTGGTGAAACAAGGAAGATGCCTTGACCAACAACAGAAGGTGACACTGGTTAAAAATGTAACAAATGAGGAGATTCTAGCTGCTATAAAAGATATGCTTCATGATAAAGCCCCAAGGGTAGATGGCTTTCATATTGAGTTTTTCACAACACAATGGACTATAGTTGGGTCTGAAGTATGTGTTGTAGTCAAACTCTTTGAAACAGGCAGAATGCATAGATGGATGAATTGTACAGTGATCGCTTCCAACTCCGCACTACTAAATGTAGCGAGAGAGGGTCGCAATAGCTTTTACCCGATTTTGGATCGGGATCGATATCCACAGAGAGCTAGAAGTTGGAGTCGAGTATCTATCTAGTGTAGAATTGCGTATGTGTTCCAAATTACACTTCTATTCATTTTTGGGTTTTTGTTTACTTCTACTATTATCAAACTAAAAATGGTAATTGCAACTAAATTATGCTAAGAGTTATAATGCTACGAGTTGTTCAAATAGGTTTAAAAGGCACTAGGGTAGTGACTACCGCCTAGGTGGTCAATTGACAGGTACTTGAATCTAAGGCATGCTTGACACTTTTGGGGAGTATGTTATAACCATTGCACGACTTTACCCACTCTACACCTCTCGGTGGTTCGAGTGATTTTGTCCAAATTGGCTTTCTCAAGACCAATTGGGTATGCAAATTTGCACAAGCAACTAGGGTTCAATTTGGGTATTACTCTCTCGAGGTTTAACCCTTTAATTGGGGCTATCAATCTCTTGAGTACGCCCCAATTCATTGTTGGACCAATTTCAGAGACTTAGCCTCTCTTTCTCAAGAAGAGCTCAAGTCAACTCAACACAAACTAGTGTTTGCAACCACTAATTAAGAAATTATCCATGAAATTGGCCCAAATAACAAACACCCATAGTCAAATTAGCCCTAAAATACAAGACCCATCAATTACCCACACTAGGGTTGAGCCACAAACCTAGCTATGGGGTCTAGCTACTCATATTCAAAGAAGAAAAACAAGAAAATAGAAGAAGATAAACACATATTAATTAATTGCTAAGCTAAATACAAAGATTCAACGATGAAAAGTAAGTACAAATGCCCAAAATGGCTAAGAAAAGTCGACCCACGAGCGCAGCTGATGTAATACAATATCTGATACCGTAAAAATAGAAAAAGAAGCTATTTATACTAGGCTAAAAAATTTGGACAAAAATGCCCCTGCGGGGTTAGTGCGGACCGCACAAAATGGACCGCGGTCCGCACTGGGCTCTTGACTTCAAAAATCTCATTCTCTGAACTTGGGCTCCGCGGATCGTACAGAATGGACTGCGGCCGCAGAGCCTTGTAGTGCGGTCCGCACAAACTTTACTGCGGACCGCATTGGCTTGAAAACTTCATTTTGCAGCTTCTCTGAATCTTGGCTCTGCGGACCGCACAGATTGGTAGTGCGCCGCATTCCTTCAGTGCGGACCGCCCAAAACCTAGTGCGGCCGCACTGCCTTAATGCGTGAAATACCATCTCTTTGAATCTCCCAATGCGGACCGCACAAAGTGTACTGCGGCCGCACTGGGCCTGTTTTGCCTGAGCTTGCCTTGCCTTTGTCACTTGTGCAAGTTTCACTCCTTTTGAGCCGATCTTTGACATTTTGTCACTTTGTTGATCAAACCTGCAATCAAGCACAACCTGTGAGCCTTTTGGGACTATTTTGTAGGAATATTAGATCAAAGCATAAGAAAGAAGGGGTATAAAATGCGTCAAAATCCCTAGTTATCAACTCCCCCAAACTTAAGCTTTTGCTTGTCCTCAAGCAAATAAAATAAGACCCACCCTTTAAGAGAATGTCCAAGAAAAATTTCAGCTGTCCTAAAGCAACCTCAACTAGCATCAATTGGGACTAACAATTGCCCTCAATACAAATGAATCATTAACAACATTTACTCTTTGAAAACACCATGGATCAAGTGCAACACAAGAGCATCAAGAATTGACTCAACACATCAAAGAACTCTTTTCTATTACTTTATTCATTGTGGAACACAAACTCACACATCCTCAACTCTCCCAAAGCAACCCTCACCTTTAAGATAGTGGCACTCAGAACGAGGATAATGGGAATTCACTCATCTCTCTCAAGAAAAAGCCACAAGTCTGGCTCTTAGTACCATATGCTTGTCCCTTATGTGAGTATTCACTAATGTAAGGTTCATTCAACTCAAGATCATATAGGGCTTTTGTGGAGACATTGTGAAGGCTTTTGGTTCAGGGTAGGAAATGTTTTGGTCTAAGTAGGTTCCATCTTCTCTTAAGCACTTCTTTTGATTCATTTGTCATCCATTCACTTGACTCTTTGAGTCATTTCACTTCTTTCTAAGGGGTTAGAGAGACACATTGTCACTCTTTCTTATGCATTTCAAACCTTTTCTCCTTTTTCAACTTTCCACACCTTTCATTCTTTGCTTTTCTTTGAATCCCTTTTTATTCTTTTTCATATTGAACTTTCTTTTTGTCTTTTTGCTTTTCTTTCTTTTTCGTTGCCTTTCCTTTTCTTCATTTTTGTGCCTTTTTACCACTTTGTTGCAATCCTCATCTCTCCCCCAAACTTATACTTTTTCCATGTGCTAAAGGAAAGATCGGGTGCCAAGAGAGGGTATCTTTTAAAACGGGTATAGGCTTGTATCATGGTTCTTGAAAGAAAAAGGTCTAAGGCTCAAAAGGGTTAACTAGGGATCTTATCATTGGTAAGATATGGAATTGTTCAAACTATCATTTGGATCAAGGAGAGCCTATAGTCATGTCTCAAGTCAAAATTCACTTAGGATTTCGCCTCGACAAACATTCAGGGCAAGTTCTAGACCAATGGCTCGGGACTTGGACTTGCAATTCAATTACTCACCACACAAGCTATGGGATTGCTAAAGACACAGAGTTGGGGACCCACAACGACCTTAGATAAGATTTAAGCTCACAATGGTCCCGAAAAATCACTTGATGATTATCGGCCAACACAAGAGTCTCAAGGTCACGACTTTCACCATCCTAAACACAACAAATTGTCTTTGACCATAAGATCAAAGGCAAATGTGCTAGGCCCAAGTGAAGCTTTGCTTGAGGCACCTTTTAACTACTAACTACTAAAAACGAAAAGAAAAACGGACTCAAACCCTTAAGAAGGTTATCACGCCATCCATCATTGGGGAAGAGCCACCTGGTTCACACAACACTCCACCTTTGGAAAGAACCGTGGTATTAAGAAAACCAAAGGCTTATTGCAAACTTCGAAAACAAAAATCTACGAATCACAAATAAGAAGCTAAAAATGAAAAATTTTGCGGAAAATAGAATGAATATGTACAAGAGGGGATTTGAATATACAATGGATGGGATGATTATATACAATGTGATATAACTTTATGTACAGACCCAAAGTGAAATAAAAATGCGATAAATGTAACGAAATATCAAAATTATATACAAACCAAAGATAAAAAGATAAAGACAACATAAAAATATATCAAAATATATACAATCATCCAAATGAATAGTAGGGCTTACCCCCTCAAGAAAGCTGGCATTGTCCCCAATGCCAACTAGTCTAAATAAAGCATCAAAAGATAAGAGGGAAAGGATATAGAAGACTCCCTAAGGACCGTCTGTCTGCATAGTGTCATGTGTGGTCCTTGGGTCCTCTGTGTGCTCGGGAACCTCAGACTGGTCCCCTGTGGCCTGCTGCTCTGCTACTGGGACCTAGGCCTAGACCTGGACATGCTCTGGAACTGGTACATCCTGTGGCTGACTAGAGGAAGTCTCCGGTAGGTCCGCCAACTGGATGATAGCATCATCAGCTCTAGGAATCATCCTCCTCCTCTTGGGAGGCCTCTGAGACTGCTCCGGCTCCGGATGAACTGCTGGGGCTGGATCCTGGAGCAATAAATCTAAAGACAAGTTATCTGCCTTCCGTCTGTCTACATCTGCTCTCAACTTCTTCACGGACTCTTTGGAGGCCCGTGTCTTCCTCAGCTTCTTGTACTCCCGAGCAAGCTTCTTGAGAGCCTTGCTATGTGAATCAACTTCCTTGGAGAGCGTTGCATGAGTGTCGAGGATCTTTTTCTGGTTGTCAAGTATCTCCTTGAGCGCATCCTCAATCGACTGCGGAACCTGCGGAGCTGGAGGTGCCGACTGAGCCTCTACCACAGTGGTGAGTGAGGACAACTTGGATGAGGCAGTGTGCATCCAGTTGTTTATGCTAAGAAGCGCCTGGCTCAGTCGGTGAGCAGTAATAGGATGGGCCCGGGAAGATGGAATCTCCGGGCCTGCTGATGTGGATGGACCGGCAGGAGTGGCTATGGATGTGGAAGGACCGGGAGGGACATCTGTGGAAGTGGAGGTAGGCTCAGCAGGAGCCACTAACACAACTGTCTCTTCAGACTGGCCAATTATAGTAGTACCCTTGAAGCTCTTTCTCTTGGGGTTGTCATCCCCCTGTATGCTATACCAGGAAAAAGGGGCCTTCGCTTTGACTTTGACATCGAAGGGCTTCTTGTCCACTTTCAAGTCCCGAAAGTACATAGTGAGGGTGCTAGGGAAAGGATAGTTCCGGTCATGCTCGGCACCCACTATAGTGATAATCCGGGACATCACATTCCCCACATTTATGGGGTACCCTGCCATAATAGAAGCAAACAACACAGCTCGGTGGAGAGGTAGGGAGTTGTCATGAGTGGTAGGGTCCAACCGGCTGCGAATAAAAGTCTCCCACCCCCGTGCCTCAAAGTTCAGACTCCTTCTCAGAATTTTGACTCCAGTAGTTTAACCAGTCCGGGGTGGTACCTGGGATTGCCAGGTATTGTGCCAACCATGGACGAACCTCTTCACCCATTGCCATCTTTTCCATGTATAAGGTCTCGTCCTCCTCATTGAAGCCAAGGTATTCGTTGAGGTACCTCCCTTCAAATAACACCTTCAGATTCCGAACCTTTGTCACTTTGGAGCCCTTTTTGATGTGGGCTACATTGCAATAAAACTCCTTGACCATGTGTTCATTGGCATCCACACACTTTTCTAGAAAATGTTCCCAGCCCACTCTAGTCCTAAACTGTCTCTGCACGTTGGGGTTGTGGGATAATAGGTCTCTATCAATGAAGCTCCTCTCCGGAATCAACTTTCTCACCGGCCACCACTCCCGAAATTTGTGGTACGCCACCTCACTCACGAATCTATCTTGCCAAACCTCCAGCTTTCTCGTTCTATCAACACCCCAACCCTTGGTTCTCCTCCTTCTGCCACTTCCTCATCTCCCCCAACTTCCTCCTCAGCACCTACTGCACCCTCTCCAGATACTGAAGCTGTGGGAGAGGTGGAGTATTCCCCACTACCTGCTGTTGAGCCCTCAGACGACTCAGAAATCACATGTGTTGGTGCTTGGGCAATGGTTGATGGCGGAGGAGTGTCTCTTAGCCCGAATCTCTCCGGCCAGTCTTCAACATATTCTGGCACGGAGTCTGAACAAATGTCCGGGAGAGCTCATACTCACTCCCCGAGGAATGTAAAGCAGCTCTGTCAGCAGCTTTGATCAGCTTTCTTGTCTTCTTAATGTTTTCTCGAGCTTGGGGAGTGAGTTTTATCATTTTCTTCTTCCCTCCCCGGGAGGATTTACCTCTGCCCGGTTGTTTTGAGCCTTTTCCTCGTTGTCTCACCATTGTCTGCAATCATAGTTCAATCAGCTTGTTAATATAAGCGTAATCAGTTAAGAACAATGTTGCAGAGGCAGGGAAGAAAAGTTGTAGACAAGCTGCAGAAGTTGCCCAGTGCGGACCATACAAAATGGTGTGCGGCCGCACAGGAGACAGTGCGGACCGCACAAAATCAACCGCGGTCCACACAGGTGTGGGGTTCAGAAACCCATCCTCTGTATCTTGGCAGTGCGGACCGCACAAAATGTAGTGCGGCCGCACTGCCCAAAGTTCAGCTTCTCAGAATTCATCAGTGCGGTCCACACAAAATCTAGTGCGGTCGCACTGCCTTAATGCCTGAAATACCAGCTCTCTGAATCTCCTAGTGCAGAACAAAGTGTACTACGGCCGCACTGGGCCTGTTTTGCCTGAGCTTGCCTTGCCTTTGTCACTTGTGCAAGTTTCACTCCTTTTGAGCCGATCTTTGACATTTTGTCACTTTGTTGATCAAACCTGCAATCAAGCAGAACCTGTGAGCCTTTTGGGACTATTTTGTATGAATATTTGATCAAAGCATAAGCAAGAAGGGGTATAAAATGCGTCAAAATCCCTTCGTTATCATACAGTAGTCACTGTAATTCCAAAAGTGCCAAATCCCAGCCAAGTCAAAGAATTCAGACCTATAGCATGCTACACCACTCTATATAAGAGTGTAATAGGGGATCTCATTGGGGAATCACAATCAGCCTTTATTGAAGGAAGAAGCATTATAGATAATATCTTGTTTACTCATGAGTTATTCAAAGGGTATAACAGAAAAGGGATTTCCCCAAG